GAGAGAGAGAGAGAGAGAGAGAGAGAGAGAGAGAGAGAGAGAGAGAGAGATGAGCGATCCAAGATTGGTTGTCACTTACCTGTAAGGCGAGATTGCGAAGTCCGGTGGAGAAGGGAGACGGCGGCCATAGCCGCGGAGCATTGACACAGAGTACCGGAGGAGAGAGAAAGGGGAGGACAGAGAAGGAGGGGCTGAGGAGAGAGAAGAAAAAGTGTGGAAGGAGGAGATTGAAGAAGAAGACAGACATAGACGGGGGTGAACAAAAAAAAAAAACAAAAAAAACACAGCGAAAGAGAAGAAGAAAGAAAGTGAAGGAAGGGGAAGTAGACGGCGAGGGTGACGAAGGTGAAGGTGCTGGCAGCCATAGCCGAGGTGAGGAGTTGACCGGGCGTTGACCAGACCGTTGACCAGAGGGTTGACCAAGGGTTGACCAACGGGTTGACCGGGCGTTGACCAAGGTGGTTGACCAAGCTTTGACTGGGGGTTGTCCGCGTTGACCCGGCATTGACCAAGGCGTTGACTGGAGCTGCTGACCAAGATTTTGACCAAGATGGAGTTGGTGCTATCTCGCTGAGCCCTTAGCCTATCCCCTTACCCTGTTGATGTGCACTCACCCTACAGTACTTGCTGAGTTTGAGTTTGTTTGTCTTTCCTTTCTGCATTGAGTCTCTTTTGTCCTAGGTGTTACGACTCTGTGGATGAAGGATAGGGCCTTGCTGCCAAACCTGCACGGGCTTAGTAGGACCAAAGCTCTACGCTGGCACTTGGAGACCTAGGCATGAGCGGCGAGCGCTCGTTAAACAACTCGTCTAGCCCAATGACTGGTACTGTCCGGCAGGTCTACTGAGTTCAGTGTAGAGGGTCTGAACTCTGAGCTGTAGGCTGAAACGAAGGTCGTCTTTAAGTGTTGAGGCCTGGTTGAGCCACTCCCCTACCGGACCTACTACAGCTGATGATCTGTGTCTGACGACTCGACTGTCCCGAGGGATACGAACCCCTCCAAGGACCGCTGCATACCCGGCGGGCTGCTTGGTGTGGCACAGTAGGCTGGAACGGCTGAGTTGTGGGCTGAAATCGCCAAGAAGAACCAAGCTGATCACGTCGTCCTGTCTGCGACGTTAAAGAATTCTTGAGGAGTTACGGGGGATCTCCTTAAATGCCTCCTGATCAGCTGCTGGTTCTGTAGTGACAACCTTAGAGTAGTGAGTAGTGGTCTTTAGGGAGTCAGTCAGTAGGTCAGTGAGTCCGGGTAGGTCTAAGTGGTGAGGAGTGGGACGTTGTCGTGCACCTGACGCCACAATGGATGACTATCCGATGTATGGGTTGCTGGTTGGGTTCTCTCTCTGGGGGACACTCTGGCGCCTCCTCTTTCCTCTGGGTTTCTGCCCCACTTTTACGTGTAGAGTAGGGCCCACTCGTGGTGGTACTTCCACCAGCCCCTACACGAAGGAGGAGGAGGAGAAGATGGCCGCTATTTTGCAGGAGAGGAAGGAGAAGAAGGAGGTCAAGAGGAAGGCCTTGAAGGAGGAGCAGACGGCCAAAGTGAAGAAGATAGAAGAAGAGATGGCCAGGGAGAAAGAGAGGTTGAAAAAGGAAGAAGAAGAGAAGCTGAAGGAGGTGGATGAAGAAGAGGAAGGACCACCACTGCAAAGGAAGAGTGGGCAAAACAGTGGCAGCAGCGGTAATGAGATGGAGAAGAAGATTTCGGAGTGGGTCGCCAACTTATCCCTGGGCGAGGAAGAAGAGGTGATAATGTACATCCCAAAGGATGACCAAGAGGCTGCCATGAGGGCTTGGGATGCAGAGAAAGACCCTCTTAGGCGACAGGCACTGGAGGATCAACAGAGGATGGAGTGGAAACTTGCCATGATGAGGGAGAAGAAGAGAAGGGTGGATGCGGCGAGTGAAGCGGTCAAAGAGTTGGAGGAGGTGCAGAAAGTGAGTCTAAAGATAACCCCTCAGGTAGATCTCGAACGGAAGGTAGAGATACTCGCCCAGAGCGTCGAGCGGCTAGCAAAGATACAAGAACAACAATACGGGTTTAGGCGAAGCCAGGACATAGTTGTGCGCTCGATGCGAATGGGATTTCGGGACTTTGCGCGCGAGTTGGTAGGAGCCGTAGGGGCCGAGGTGAATCATCGCCTCGAGAAGACTGAGCGTTTTTGTGTCGGCGCCATTGAGGGCGTCAAGGTGGCAGCTCCCAAGGAGGAGGAGACTCGTCCTCGCAGGGAGCCAGTCAAAGTCAAATTCCCTGATTCCTACAGTGGAAAAAGGGAAGAGAACTTTGACAATTGGGAGGCCAATGTCAGGATCTATATGCATCTGCAACAGGTCTCCCCGGATCAGCAGGTCCTAATTGCGATCCACGTGCTTAAGGATGAGGCCGCTAGTTTTGCAAGGTCCCTTGTTCGCGCTGCTAACTGCAGTGACGATCCAGTTGCATACTCCACATTCACCCCCCTCGTTGAGTTCCTGAAATTGCTGCGCGAGCGATTTGCTGATGTCGCTCGTAGTGTTAAAGCGTCAGATAGGCTGCAGACGATCCACGCCCGCAAGTGGAAGAGTGCCAGGGCACTCAAGAGTACAATGGATGAGTTAGTGGCTGTCCCTGACCATGGGGTTACGGACACCCAGTTGGTCGGCCTCTTCTATTGGGCCATACCCGAAGCCCTTCGAGGGCATTTCTTCGCAAAGAGCGAAAACCCCGCCACTACATATGATTCTCTTAGCCGTGAAGTGGTGGCTTTTGAAGCCAAGTCTGCATCTGTGTCCACCTTTTGGCACAAAGACTTGGATAAGGGAAAGAAATGGAAGGGCTGCACTATTTCTGGGCAAGTGAAGACTAAGGATAGCCTTGTCCTGACCTTAGATGAGGGTAGTGTGGACGAGATCCCCTACGATCAGATTGAGTGGGGGTTAGAGGAGGAGGACAGTGGTGTGGGCCAGGGGAGGACTTACGCTGCTGTCGCGGCTGGAGGGAGGCCGCAAGGAGGACGAGGCCAGGGCCAAGGGGGTCGGGCCTCAGGGAGCCGGTTTCAGGGCGATCAGGGGGTTAGCGGTAGAGGAGGAAACCGCCAAGCGGGAGGCAGGGGTCAAGGTCCCTCGCAAAACCGTCCTAGGAACAGGTCTCCCTATAGGGTAGGAGGATGRCACCCRAGGCTACCGCAGGGTAGGCCTTGGGAATCTTTGGGTCTAGACCAGTCTTTATGGCAACAACGATTGGACCGGGGCCAGTGCATTTTCTGCGGTGACCCGGGCCACATCATCAAATATTGTCCTAAGTATCGCGAGACCCGAACGGTTGCCCAAGGGCCAAAAGGCAGCCGCCGGTAGGGGTTGCAACTGCCCCTACCACTAGGCCATGTGGGGAACATAGCGCTAGCCGGCAGGAGACTCCCACACTAGATGTGCCTACGACAGAGGTTGCAGGCCAGTGTCTAGACAGCTGTCCCGAAACTGCTTGTGTTAGAGTTTCGTTAGACACCTCCCTCACAGGCGTGGCCGAAGAGTTGAAGGAGAGAATGCCCGCCTGGGCCAAGATGAGAAAGGAGAATAAAGGACGGCTTATATTGGTAGATACAGAGATTTTTAGAGGTAGAGTAGGGGCCCTGGTAGACTCAGGGGCCACCCGCAGCTATATTAGTAAGAAAGCGCTGCAGAAGTTGAAGCTGGGACTTAAAGTCCAAAAGCTAGCAGACCCTATAGTTAGTATCCTCGCGGACAACCGTACTATGGTTGTAGAGGAATATGTAGAGGGAGTCCAAGCGTATTTCCGCCTAGAGAAGGATGGGAAAGTGGAGAAGGTTCTCCACTCCCTGACTCTCCTCGTGGAAGACAGCCTCCCATTCGACATTGTTCTGGGAATGGATTGGGGAGAGGCAGCCGGGGCCACGCTCCATTTGAAGGAGCACGAATATAGGCTCCCTAGTTCTTCAGGCGAGGCTAAGATTGCCCGCCTGTTCCATGTGTCAGGAGTAGAGAATTCCTTGGCGCATTGCTGCCTTAGTGCCCCCGCGTTCGCCAGATTGGTGAAGAAGGAAAAATTAGAGGAACAGGTCTTTGTTGCCTATGTTAGGCCAGTCACTGAGCCTAAGGAAGAGAAGCCCGTAGACCCTGCTATTGCCAAATTGCTGGAAGAGTTTAAGGATTTAACTGAGCCGCCGACCGGCACGGTGCCGCGGCCCATCCAGCACCGTATTGAGATAGAGCCTGGCAGCAAAACTCCTAAGGGTGTTGTGTATAGGATGTCCCCGCGGGAGTTAAAGGAGCTACGGAAGCAGTTGGACGAGCTCCTTGAAAAGGGTTGGATTAGGCCCAGTTCGTCTCCTTTTGGAGCCCCTGTTCTCTTTGTCCCTAAGAAAGAGGGAGAGCTGAGGATGTGTATAGACTATAGGGGTATGAATGCCATTACAGTGAAGAATGTTGAGCCACTGCCTAGAATA